GGAGACAGTTCCTAAAAGGATTTTCATTTTCTTAATAATGAAGACAAAAAGAGTCGATTTATCCAATTGGTACCACTGGCAAAGGAATTATTTTAAGATGTTTCTAAATCAGAGACAAGCATTAGAATAACCATCCGAGCTCTTTTAGTAACCACTCAGGAGCTTCCCTCCCCCTCAGAGTCATTCGCTAAGTCTGAATTTGGACCCAAATGGTTTTCAGATTCCACACCTGGTTCCTATTCTAACCCTCAGTTGAGATCCATTAGTTGTGATAGTTGTGAATTGCCATTTCCCCCTGGTTTTGAAGTGGTCATAAGAAAGGAAGGTAACTGTAACTTCAGGGATGACTGAAAAGAGTGCAATTCTGGAAATGAAATTGGCCATTTCTGGTGGAGTAGTGATTTTGCATTCAGCTGCCTCCAAAAAGATTGTGGATTTGAACCTTGCCGAGGGAAAAAGGATCTGGCATTAAGCCTCCCACAGGTGAAAGCACACCTCCTGCCCACCGTGGATTCTAATTCAAGGGGACCTTTTTACGGCAGTGCTTCTCAAAGTGGGTGGTACTACCCACTGGGAGGTGTTGGAATGCTCCAGGGGGCTGCAAGAGCAGATATACCTCTGGATTTTAGGCTATACGTAGTGTAAAAGTTTTTCATTCCCAGGGAGCATTGGAATGTTTTGGTGTTTTTAGTTTTTTTGTTTCCTGAAAAAGTGGTGGTAGGGAACCTGTGTTTTAGGCATAGGAGAAAGGGTTTCCAAGGCTGTCATGTTGAGGAAAGCAAAATGATTTGTTTGTCTTTCTCCCACTGAGCACCTGGGACATTCCGACCACTGCCCTTTAGATTAGCTGCTGGGTGCTTACCTGCTATGTTGTCAGAGTACCTCCCATAACGATTAGAGCCTAGAAAAGGCTATGGTGCAGTTCTACTCTGTCACGTGGAGTCATTAGGAGGTGGAATCAACCGGATGGAACCATCAACAACGTAGAAATTGTAGTGATGGTTATGTGATTAAGTAGCATTAGCCTCAGGAGTTTATGTAAAAAGAAAGGGAGTTACCATGAATGAGGAGCTGTGTCTTGTTCTTCATTTCAAGTCAGCATACATGTCGAGTGTTTAAGCCCACCAAGTACTTGATAAGCATACCTCAACTACTATTAAATAATGTATGAAATGAGGCCCTTAGTTGAAAGAAAAATAACTGAATTTTGATCTTGTACCTCCTATCAGTATGAAGTAATATGAAAGGTTAGTGTTTGTTAGAGTTGGTGAAATGATAAGCTGGTGTAAAGGGGAGAAAAATGAAGTGTTGTTTACAGGTAATGAATTATGAGAAAGATTACCTCTAAGTAGCAAAAGTTAATCTAACCTCTCTTTTAGAGATTAGAAAAAGTGAAGTAAACAGAGAAGGATTGTCATGTTGGTCACGAGTGTAGTTGGAGTGTAGGAGTTTTTCAAATAGAAGTAATGTCAGAAATATAGGGAATCCTTGGAAAATACAGGTCAGAAATAAAAAATTATCTCAAGAAGATAACTTATCATCATGAACAGCAATTTTAGAAATAAAATAGGGATAGAGGCTACTTAGAGAGTAACTTTGACCTGGGAGGCTGTCATAAGGAACTCAAGCCCATGTGGAAGTCCTGACGTAGCATTCACACACAACATAAGAC